TGTTTGTATCTGCACATTTGATTTTTGCACAAATGATTTTTAAACTATCTTAATAACTGCCAAACATTAAAAGAAAAATGTTGTACAAGTAAACAATGTAGTATTTAGTTAAAGTGGCCATTACATCTCTTTTAAAAAAGAAATACAAACACTTGAGATGGTGTATGTCATATGCTGAGAAAATTCTTTACATTGGTGCCTATACTGTAATAGTTGCTTTTAATTGAGTGTATTTTGAAGTAATGTTTTGGTTAGATTTTTCATCTGTTCTGTAATTGAAACTCAATTACACTATGTTCTCCACAGTGCTCTACAAATAATTGTGTGACTTGGATCATGGATTACATTAGTATTTTCGTAAAAAATAAAAGCAACAAGTTCATAAATTGATTACATAAAACCTTATCACATAACTGCATCCCAAATGCAACTTGTATTGCTTACTCATTACAGTTTTAGTCCTGTAGACTGTTTCTAGGTGAAGCATACTTCAGTGTTTGGGGAATTTTAAAAATAAATATTTAAATTTCATGATCCTTGATGTTTGTTTTCTTGAGGGTGTTCTGATATGTTATTCTAATTGTTTTAAAATTTTCTCCTTCTCCTTTTACTATTGGAACATAACCAAGTTTTCCATTGAAACTAAAAGAACTGACTGTATTTGTAGCTAAACACATATATTCTGCTTTCTGCCTCCTATCTTAACAAAATTATTAATAGACCTTTCAAAAATGTCTCAGACAACCAATTCAATGATCTACCTAACTACCATTTTAATAAAATAACACATACAGATTTGAAATTTATAGTTCTTAAGGAAAATACACATTTAGCCCAAGGTTTTTGTCTTTTGTTTGGTTTGGTTTGGGTTTTTTTTTTTTTTTTTTTGGTTTTTCAAGACAGGTTTCTCTGTGTAACTTTGGAGCCTATCCTGGCACTCACTCTGGAGACCAGGCTGGCCTCGAACTCACAGAGATCTGCCTGCCTCTGCCTCCCAAGTGCTGGGATTAAAGGTGTGCACCACCAACGTCCGGCTTAGCCCAAGTTTTTAGAAATGATGATGAGATGAGAAAAAGCATATGACATACAAATTTTGAATTTCTTGTGGGAAAACGTTATAGGTAATTTTTTAAAATAATAAAGTTTATATGAATAATGTATAGGTGGTCAACTGTCTGTAATTCCCATTCCAGGGGATTCCCACCCTGTCTTTTGGACTCTATGGGCAGCAGGCATGCACATGGTGTGTATGCATACATTTAGTCATATACTCATACACACTTATACACGTAACATGTTTTTTGAAAGCAAACAAATTGAACTTGACACTGTCTTGCATCACTAAACCCCCAGCACAGAGGAGGCTGAGGCCAGAGGATCATGAGTTGGAGACCAGCCTTGGCTTCTTGAGAAAAACAACCATACCACACAATTTTCATTCCCTGTCAGAGCCTGGTGTCAGCACCGTCTCTTTTTGTCTCAGCCATCCTTTATTTCCACGTCACCCCGGCCACATTTTTTTTTATGTCCCTGTCCCTTTTCCCTTCTCTGTCCTGTTCTATAAATACAGGCCGGAACCATCTACTTCTGAATTTTATTAAAGCAAAAAGCAGGCCATACGTACAACTTCAGTTTGAGTGAGTTTTCCATTGTTCTTTATTAAATAATACCTCAGATCCTTGCCTACATGCATGCAACCAAGATATAGGCAAAAACAAATATCAGCAGGAGATATTAGGAAACAAACTTGCTTGTTAACATTGATCCCCACCATATATAATCAGTAGTTAAGAAGAGAGAAATTAGAAGTCAACACCGTAATATCTTCATGAGGCACACATCCGGCTTGAGAGATGGGCCTAACCGATGAATCTCCAGTTTTGAGAATTCTGTTAAATCCTCTATTAATTCTAAACATTTTTTTGCTGAGAGGATCTATGCCACTGACCTATGTATATTGACATTCTTAGTATATAACAAGACTGTTCACTGGGTCCCAAACAAGTCATGAGGAGAGAAACCACATTTTAGGGTTACGTAAGCACAAAGAACACCCAACATAACCATGGACTACTAAATCACAAAGCAGCATTAGAAGCCAGTCCCATACACCAACCCACATCAGCATTGAAGAATAGGTCTTCATTTATACTATCTGCTCTCAGAAATATATAAGGGTGATAACATACACTTCCCTCCACACTGCCATGGTGCTGGCAAGGAGAAGGAATGTTCCAGAGTTTGTTCGGAGGAAATAAAGGAAAGAAGCTCATAGAATGAGGCAACAACTTGATCTTTCATAAGCTGGGTGCCTGTAATGAGAAGCCCCCCTTAGCATCAATTAAGATGACCAAGGAAAAGGTGCATCAAAAAAGTGCTTATGTCTTACCTAAGGTGGTAACATGGAATTGGCCAGGAGCATTCATAGAGTCCACTCTTCTTAAGCTAAGAAATAGTTGCATGGCTTTAACAAAGTTCTATCTTCAGCACCTGGTGTGGTGAAAGAAATATCTTCATCCTCTTCCTCTAGCTGCAGACTACCAGAAGACAAGCGGATTCGGGCCCTAGGTGACTTTGTTCCTTTGCCATACATAGAGTAGTAGTCTGGTTTAAGAATCTCCGATTCGGAATTTCTGCTGAGCTCTGGTCAATTAGAACTGTGGGGAACTCCTGCTCTGCAAATGTACACGTAAATGGATCTGCTTTACGAGTCAGAGCAGGACAAGGCCCTAAAGGTCTAAATTCTGACCCAAAAGGAAAACGGATAGTTTTCATGTCTGATTGGCTCTGAGATCGTTTAGGAGTTTGCTCTCGAAGGTTATATGCAAATGCATCATCTAAATGTGGGTCTTCCTCCCCTAGGTCTGCATTGATGGTGCTTCTACCACTGTTTCTAGCCATAGCTTCTTGGAGTTCTTGAAGGTCTTGCTGTAAGCTTTTTATCCTGATATTCCTTGGGCTTCTTTTGGCTGGTTTTATTGCACTGGGTTCTGTATAGCTGTCTGGTCTTACACTTTCCTCTGCCATGATTGGAGACCGCCTGGGTACCTGGGGTGGCTTGTCCACATAAAAAAAGACTTGGGGAGGCATAATATCAACCTGTTGACTAGTACAAGGAATATAGGGCACATCGGTGTATGTTAGCTGCCTTGCTGGACTCACTCTGCCTGTGAAAACAGTGGATGTGCTTATGTGATTGTCCGCAAACTTCGAGTTTGTTTGGAAGGAGTGTAGAGGGCTCCGTTCTTCAAGGAAGTCAATGGGATCAGGGTCAGTGTTAAAGACGGGGTCTGCATAAATAAAGGTGAAAGAGGAACTGCTTTGGGATGGGTGGAGTGATGTGGGATCTGCCTCTGGTTTGGAACGCTCCATCTCGGCTGCAAATGTCACCTCAACTGCTGAGTTCCTCCTCCTCCTGTCTAGCATAGGCTCAGACACATGTACTCCATTCACATTTCGGTAGTAACTGCTGCCGTATGTAAGTCTCAGATCTTCCACCTTGAAAAACAAGATACATTAATGTCCCATTGATGTCAGATGAAAAAAAAAAGCTGTTTAGTTGGACTTGGGGGAGGGTCTTAGTTAATCTCCTAGTCTGAAAAGCTGATTTCACAAAGTCATTTAAATCCATGTTCTTTCCCATAGCAGATAAACCTATGTATTGAAAGGGAAATGATTTATACCACGTCCCAAGTTGTATGTTAGAAAATACATGCAGCATTCTTCATTCTCAGTGACACCCCATTTCTAGACTCCACACTTCATGGGTCCTTCAGGACCATTGTATTTCAAGCAGTTATGTTTGATAGCTTTATCAATGAAGCAGGAATCCTACCCCTGTCTGCCTTTGACTAGCTGTGTGGTCCTTAGGCAACACAGTCTAATGTCCCTACTCCATCCTCCTCCACAGTTTCTGTAAATAAAAGGTAGAAAGGAGAGCTGCGAATGGCCTGAGAGATTCATAGATGGTCTATGGTCTATGATCTAGATGGTCTCTTTCATCTGTTTACCTCTGATGCCTTTTGGATGAAAACCATCTGTGGCATGAGTGAAGGCATGGGAGTTTATGGCACCTCCAATTAATTTTTTACAGACAGTGTCAACAAAAAGTGATCAAGAAGTTTCCCAATTAAAGTCTCTAATGAAGGCATCATCTTACAGTCCCAGGGCATAACTGCATCCAGAAATCATATTGCACAAGTAAGAAACAACACCGTATACCTTTCTTGAGGCCTTATGGTTTCCACTGGTAAAATAACAGAGTTTTTCATTTCAAAATTATGAAGTCATAGAAATGTATTAGTATCTTTTTTTCAAGATGTTGATAATCCAGTTTGAAATTTGAAGGTACACCAGGGGTTTCCCTTGTGCACAGTTAATAGTTAGTTGCAGTTTACCATATGGCCTATTAGCAGGAATGACTGTGCCAAGACCACCAAGTGACTAACCTCACATGGAGTGACCTTGGAACACAGTGGGTGGTTCTGGCAAAATTGATTGTTGGAAGCACTGGAAGACTGGATGACTTAGACTTATCTAAAAAGTGGGGCTTTTCAGAAACCTTACTTGTTTTGACACATCAGAGAGAATGTCTGGTGATGACCTGCACTGCCGTTCATGATACTGAGATGGATACTGTTTCCTGAAATCCCCAAACAAAGAAGTCATTGAAACGCTCATTATGCAAATTATAGGATACATAGACATCTCTAAATTCAACTTCCAATCAGCATGAGAAGAGAGAAGGAAAAGGGTGCACCTTTCAAACGGCAGGCTCTTTAACCTCCCCTTTTTCCCATATTCCAAAAGTTGCCTTTGAGTTCTTCCACTATCATAAAGAAGAGACAAACATCATTAATTCCTCATAAGCCTATACGCCATTAAAACCTGAAAGCCTCACCTTTGTTTGAAGCCTAAAGTGTTTGGATGAATGAAACATGTTGTCAATCTATCATATTGATGCTATGCCTATCTATCTGGCCATCAACAATAGAATGATTTCAACTATCCAAAACATTGGCTTTAAAAAAAAAACTTTAAAATACCAACTGACTCTCACTTCACAAGCTCATTCTAAGGAAGCTATTTATTCAGATTCCCAATCTAAGGTGGATTCCAAGCAGCTAACTAAACAGTAGAAAACGATCTCTGCAGGTAGGCTTATAGACATAAAGAACTCTAGCTGACTGCTGGAAGAAACACAAGAGGCAGAAAGAAGTCACAATAATAATGTAACCCAAAAA